ATCCTAAATCCTAAATCCTACATCCTACATCCTCAACCCTAAACCCTAAACCCTGAACCCTAAACCCTAAACCCCAAATCCTAAGCCCTAAACCCTAAACCCTAACACCTAAACCCTAAACCCTAAACCCTAAACAATAAACCCTAAATCCTAAACCCTAAATCCTAAACCCTAAACCTTAAACCTAACCCCGAACCCTAAACCCTAAACCCTAAACCCTAAATCCTAAACCCTAAACCCCAACCCCCCTTCACCTCGCCCTCCTTCCCAATGCCTGAACCTTGTGACCGCAAGAGGCTGCAGAGTGCGAGGACCTTGAGGGTGCTCAGGGTTTAGGGTTTAGGGTTAGGGGTTTAGGGTTTAGGGTTTAGGGTTTAGGGCTTAGGGCTCAGGGCTCAGGGTTGAGGGTTGAGGGTTGAGGGTTCTCAAGGTTTAGGGGTTAGAGTTTAGGGTTTAGGGATTGGAGTTGAGGTGGGTTTTCAGGGTTAGGGTTGAGGGTTCTCAAGTCCTCAGGGTTTAGGGTTTGCGGTTCTCAAAGTTTTGGGGCTTGCTGTCTGGGGCCAAAACAAGGTCGGAGGGCCGTCTGGCTCATCGTCATCTGGTCTTACCTCACAATTTAACCCCCCCGACAACTTTATAGCTTAGGGTTTAGGGTGATCAGGGTTCAGGGTTCTCAGGGTTTAGGGTTTAGGGTGTCGGGCAGGAATCTGCAAGCAAGTCGTTCCCTGGATCCCATCTCTCGCCGGTTGAGGGATCGAGGTTCTCCAGTGGGTCAGAGCCTTCAAGCTTAGGAAAAAAACAACTCCTCTCCCACCTAAACCCGAGTTTAGGGCCTAGGGTTTAGGGTTTAGAGTTTAGGGTTTGAGGCTTTCGGATACCAGAATCTGTGATTTTGGTCGGTTGAGGGTCTTTAAGTGTTTGGGGGTTACGGGCATGACGGGGCCCTTCAGGATTTAGGCGTTTAGGGGTTTGTCTTTTTTTCGGACTTAGGGGCATGCCGGGCTTAGGGGTCTAGGGCTTAAGGGCGTTGGGCTCGAAAATTCGCCTGCGGCAATCCTAAACGCTAAACCCTAAACCCCAAATAGCAGAGGGTGTGAGTGAGGACGACCTCTCCCGGGCCATCCAGCAAATGCAGGACTGCATGCAGCTTGGTTGTCGCAAGGACACGATCATGGGCCTGAGACATGGTGATTTTGAGGGTTTAGGGTTTAAGGATTAGGGTTTAGGGTTTGAAGCCCTAAACCCTTCCACTATAAAGCTCGTGTTGCTCACTTCTACTGTAGTCCCTTGTTCGGGTTCCTGTCATCATGCGGCCCCTTATCATCCCTTATCTAGAGGTAGGGCAAAGGGCCGTCACTTAGAGAACCGGGCGCGTGGTGTCTTTTGTTTGTTTGTGGGGTTTAGGGTTTAGGGTTTAGGGTTCAGGGTTCAGGGTTTAGGGTTTAGGGTTTAGGGTTTAGGGTTTAGGGTTTGGGGTTTAGGGTTTAGGGTTTAGCGTTTAGCGTTTAGCGTTTAGCGTTTAGCGTTTGGCGTTTAGCGTTTAGCGTTTAGGGTACTGGGATGGGTCAGCGCCGCCTGAGGCAAAGCCTGTCATCCCGGCGCGATTGCTGGTGCCGGTATCCTTCGGTGTGCTTCTGCAGGGCAGGCTTATGAGCTACGCGCACAAATGCGGGTCAAGCTGCGCCCACTGTAGGATGTGTCATGTGCGGCTTTAGGGTTTAGGGTTTAGGGAAGGTCGCCAACTCCAAACCGTAAACCCCAAACCCTAAACCCTTAACCCTAAACCCTAAACCCTAAACCACCGAGGATTGCTTCAAGAATCAGCTGCGGCCTCTCTCAGTGATCTCGTTCTCGAACTCCCCTCAACCCAAAAGCCTGAACTCGGTAGGCCCTTGGGACATTGACTGCTTTCCCTTATTGGGCTTAGGAGGGCTATCTTTGGGAATATTTTTCAGAGGGCTTGAAGGGCTTAGGCCCTCAGCCCACACCCTAAACCTTCAACCTCCCAAATTCCAAACCCCCCAAACCCGGTCCTTAGTAGGGACATGGGCGAATTTTGTACCCTTCCTAATCTCTCAAAAGGGTGAATAATGGAGGATACAAGGTACCGAATTTCCCCATTCCCCTAAACCCGAAACCCTTGAAGGGTACGAAAAAGGTGCCTAACACCCCCCATCCCCTACAACTGTTCCAGCTTCGGGGGTCGCAAACAACCCTAAACCCTAAACCTAACCCCGGAACCCTAAACCCGAGCCCTAAACCCTAAACCCTAAACCCTAAACCCTAAACCCTAAACCCTAAACCCTAAACCCTAAACCCTAAACCCTAAACCCTAAACCCTAGACCCTAAACCCTAAACCCTAAACCCTAAACCCTAAACCCTTAACCCTAACCCCTAACCCCTTTAATGGTAGCTGTGGCAGGTCGCGCCAAAGGGTGCCCCATGCAGCTGGCAGTAAAATGCCTGCAGCCCAGGCCGCGCCCAACTGCCTGGTTCGGGTTTAGGGTTTAGGGTTTAGGGTTTAGGGTTTAGGGTTTAGGGTTTAGGGTTTAGGGTTTAGGGTTTAGGGTTTAGGGTTTAGGGTTTAGGGTTTAGGGTTTAGGGTTTAGGGTTTATTGTTTAGGGTTTAGGGTTTATTGTTTAGGGTTTAGGGTTTAGGTGTTAGGGGTTTCGGGTTTAGGGCTTAGGGTTCAGGGGAACTCAGCGGAGTACAGGGAGTTCAGGGGCGTTCAGGGGTCTAGGGTTGAGGGGTTCAGGGTTTAGGGTTTAGGGTTTAGGGTTTAGGGGGTTCCCCTAAACCTTAAACCTTAAACCCCGGGAGACATGTCTCAGGGTTGTCCGAGGAGTGACAGAGTCTAATGTTAACGTCCCGTTTATAAATGGGGTGGTAATAGGAATATTCGCCGGGCCCGAGGGCCCCAGCCGAAGACTACTTTCCATTTCGGGAGGTTTTCGGGCCGATGTATGTAAACAAGTCTATATAGGGGGGTCCGGTGATAATAATAATGGGGTGGTGATTGTAAAGTTTTCCGGCCAGGAATTGAGCATTTTACTGAAATTTGCTTAAGAGTTCCATTGCAGAGAAGACTTTTCAGCTGAGCTGGCTTGAAAGAGCTCCGAGGCTCAGTCTTTAGAGAAGCAGATCTCGTTTGAGAGTGCTTGTCTTCTGAGATTGCTGCAGCTCCAGAGGTGCGAGGAACTGCTGTTTCAGGGCTGTTTCTTCAGAGAGCTAAGGAGCTGCAGAGAGCAAGCAGAACTCTTCACAAGACAAAGCAAAGCAGACCCTGACAGCTGACCCCCCCCCAGACCCCCAGACCCCCAGACCCCCAGACCCCCAGACCCCCAGACCCCCAGACCCCCAGACCCCCAGACCCCCAGACCCCAGACCCCCCATAATCCGCATTATTGACACCCCCTCTTTTTTTCCACCCCTCCAAACCCCGGGGACCAAAACAAGATTGGGGGGGGGGGGGGGGGTTTTTAAAGGGACCCTAGCATTATGCTTCTTGTTAGCGGGGGTTGAGGGTTCAGGGTGTAGGGTTTAGAGTTTAGGGTTGAGGAATCTCGGAATGCTTATGAGCTGAACCCTTCTTCGGAGCTCGTCCTCCCCCAGTCATACGTGTAGTGTAGAACCTGCCGTGGATGAGATTCTCGCACTTGTTCCGCGCTCATTCAAAAAGGCGCTTTGGCCCCTTTCAACGTCCCCACACCCCGATGGTTTCGAGAAGTTCTTGAGGTTTTGCAACGCTGGAAGTGAACGAATAGCCATGAAACAAAACCTGCATTTCCGATCTTCGGAGTTGGCGCGGGGGTTTAGGTGCAAACGCCCGAAACCCGAAACCCGAAACCCGAAACCCGAAACCCGAAACCCTAAACCCTGCACCCTACACCCTAAACCCTAAAGCCTCAACCCTAAACCCTCAACCCTAAACCCGAAACCCGAAACCCGAAACCCGAAACCCTAAACCCTAAACCATTACGACCCCGTACGAAGAGCTACTGCATGTGCCAGGAAGCTGAACTTGGAGGCCACCCATACTGGCACTGCATGCACCGCTCTGCAGCGGCGCAATGCTAGGAGGATCATGGAGTAGGGTTTAGGGTTTAGGGCTTAGGGTTTAGGGTTGAGGGTTTCGGGTTTACGATTCAGGGTTTAGGATTTTGGGCTACTTGGAGGTTCATGTGGGTAGTTAGTAGGTATGGTAACTCTACTTATGACCCTATTTAGGGTACTTCTAACCCCCGACTTCTCATAACTCATGAACCTCCAAGGTAAACCCTAAACCCGAAACCCGAAACCCTGAACCCTAAACCCTTTAAGGTTTCCGCTTACGGCCTAGCATGTCTCAGACCAGTGCTGCTATAAGTAAGGGCTCACGAGGAGAAGAGCTGTTTAGGATTTCTTTTGGGCGGTTTAGGGTTTAGGGTTTGGGGTTTAGGGTTTAGGGTTTAGGGTTCAGGATTCAGGGGGTTTTAGGGTTTCGTGTTTGGGGTTCTAGTTTTAAAGTTTCATGGGCCCTGAGCCCTGGATAGCCCCATCCTAATCCCTCAGGAGTTTAATCTTTATGGGCCTTCCTAAGCTCCGAGCCCTTAACCCTAAACCTCAACCCCCCCCCCCCCCCCCCCCCCCCCCAGCATCACCAGTTTCGCAGACGCATGTCTGTTGACTGTGATCCCAACATGATGCAGCTGTGGGCCATGGCTAAACTCAGCATGGACCATCGGAATTACAGACTTCCTAGCGTAACTTAGATTCGGTGCACTGGACACAGACCCAGCAGCTATAGGTGCCAGACTCGACATATTATTCATCATATGTGTGCATATATATATATATATGTGAGGGTTTCCGAAAATAGGGGGGGTCCCTCTCGTGTATGTATAGATAGATAGATAGATATCGATCTATATATATATATATATATACACATACTTGATAGCGCCGAGCAACCGGCTGAAAGGCATAGCCTAGCATTGCAAACTGCAAGCATGCTGCATGATGCAGCCTGGTGTGCTTTTGAGCCGCTGCCTAATCCGACGACCCGTCCCTGGGCGCGTCCCTGCGCGACCAAATCTGCTCAAGGGCCGCTGCTTCTCAGAAGGCAGCGATGTGGCCGAAGTTTTTCAGCAGCTGCGGGCGCTCACGCCCCCATGCGATGGCCAGCAGCTGGCAAGGCTTGCGGCCTCAGCGGCCGATGCCGCGCGGCGCGGCGCGCTGACCTCCAAGCAAGCTGCGCTCCTGGCGTATCGCCTGGAGGGCGTGGGGTGGTTCTCCGCCGAGGTGTGTGAAGCGCTCGGGGGCGGTGCGCGAGCCGGGCGCTTCGTGGAGGACCTCGCAGCGTCCGAGTGGCTGGTGATCCTACGATACTTCGCCTCAGCGGGCTTCACACACCCGGACTTCTCGGCGGCTGCCGCCCAATGGCTCAGTGAGGGCGGATCTGGGAAGCTTCAGCTTCCGCAGCTCCAGGAGCTCGTCGCAACGCTGGCATACACAGGGCACCTGATGGGAAAGCCCGCAGAGGCCGTGGTCCAAGCACTGACACACTTGCCTCCGGAGATGGATGCTGGGAATCTCGTGAAGCTCACAGCCTGCCTAGCTGCAGCTGATGCGGGGCAGCCAGATTTCTACCAAAGCGTTGTGGCGTCCGTGTCCAAGCTCAAGACGGGCTCCACGAGCTGGGCGCCTGTGGTAGAAGAGCTCGACAGCAGTGACTTCTGGAGACTCTCCATCTTCTTCCTGCTTGCGAAGGCCGACCTCACTCGCTGGCCCTTAGCCCCTTAGTCATAGTTGGGTACCATTTTACATTCTTAAGGGTACTTAAACTTAAACCCAATAAGGAATATAGGTTTAGTTTTTGTAATAATTATCCCAACCATGAACTAGGTCCTGAACATCCTCCGCAAGCTGGACCCGCGCGTGGCGCGCATGGGCTTGCCAGGCTCCCTGGTGCCGCGCCTGGCCAGGCAGCTCCGCCTCGCCGCCTTGGAGACTTGGTGGCCCAAGTGGTACCCTTTACTTGTGTGTGTGTGTGTGTTTTTTTAATGGTTTCTCTCATAAAATAACCAACCCCCAAAAGGGTACTTGAAGGTTCATGGGACTTACTAACCAATTATAACTGTTCTTATAACCCGACTTATAATACCCCTAAAGGGCCTTATAGGGGTTATCCCAATTATAAGTAGGGTTATAAGTACAGTTATAAGTGGTTATTAAGTCCCATGAACCTTCAAGTACCCTTTACTTCTTTTTTTTTAATGGTTTCTCTCATGAAATAGCCAACCCCCAAAAGGGTGCCCTTATTAAGATAGGCTTCCCTTATGAAACAACCAACCCAACAAAAAAGGGTACCCTTATCCTAATTCCCTTATAAAGATAGCCAACCCATAAAAGGGTGCTGCCCTTATTATTAACATAGGGATACTGGGCTACCAAGGAGAATGAGGCGATCCTCTTGGAAGCTCGGCCGCTGGCTTGCGAGTTGGGTCGGGCGACGCGCGGCCTGGCGGACGCGGGCCTTTCTGCATCTCGATAGGGTCGTGGGACATTGTGTACTTTCCCATATTGGGTTTAAGAGGACCCTAAACCCTAAACCCTAAACACTAAACCCTAAACCCTAAACCTTTAAACCCTAAACCCTAAACCTTAAACCCTAAACCCTAAACCCTAAACCCTTTAAGGGCCATCCGAGGTATGGAGCCCGGAGGCTGTCGCCGACGTTGCCACCGGCTTGGGCTTCCTCGGAGTCCTGGACGAGCAGCTTGCGGAGGTGGGGTTTAGGGTTTAGGGTTTAGGGTTCAGGGGTTAGGGGTTAGGGTTTAGGGTTTAGGGTTTAGGGTTTTGAGATAGCATAGGGGCCTGAATAATTAGAATAGGGTTTTGGGGGGTTATTGTTAGTTATTTTAGTCTTCTTGTATAGGAACCATAAAGGATTAATATTGGTAGCTAGAGCGACCCATATATTACTCTTCTAATCTTCTCTTATTCAGATTATTGTCGTCTGGCGAACCCTGCAGGAGATGTGGAAGCAACTGATCGCGGATGCTTCTGCCCCACATGGCCATGCGGAGGTGCTGCTCTGCTTTGTGAGCGCCTGTCTGCAGTGTGCTTTGGGCTTCTGGCAAGCTGCTAAAGACCCTCACACCCCCCCTCCCCCTCCTCCCTCCTCCCCCCCACCCCCCACCGCCCGCCCCCCCGCCACCCCCCCCCCCATCCAAAAAAGAACAGCAACAATACCATGACCCCCACATCCCCAAACTGGTCGCCAGGCGAGTGCTGAACACGTGCTGTCTTCGAGGCATCGTGGGCCGGCAGAGAGCTGTAGGGTTGGCAGAGTTTGAGTTCATACTTACTAAGACACTCTATAGTACACTAAGGGCAGCCCTAGACCCCTGAGCCGCCTAAATTTCTCAGGGTTCTAAGGTCTGGGATGAGTTGTTACTACTTGTGGTTTTCCTATTGAACAACGGCCGGGCTTCAGCGCTTATGTGAGTCGAGGCTTTGGGGGTGTAGTGGACGGTAAGTACTTGGAGGTTCATGGGTAGCCGTCAGTAGGACCTCTACGTATAAGCTAGGTGGGACTTTACTACAACTTTAGCACTTTATGAGTTTTGGGGTTCCTCTAATTTCATATCAAGGGAGCTAAAACTTTAATGTTTATTGGGGGGGTTAAAGAGCAACCCAGCCTATTTTGGGTACTTATTCCAACCTAAACCCTAAACCCTAAACCCTAAGCCCTAAGCCCTAAACCCTAAACCCTAAACCCTAAACCCTAAACCCTAAACCCTAAATCCTAAACCCTAAACCCTAAACCCTAAACCCTAAACCCTAAACCCTAAACCCTAAACCCTAAACCCTAAACCCTAAACCCTAAACCCTACCTATGTTTACCCATGATCCCCAAGCAGAGCTTCACGAACCAGGAGCTTGGAATGCAGATTCGGGGGCTCGGAGCTCTTGGTTTCGACTCTTTGCTTAAGAGCCCCCCAAAATGGAAGAAACGAATCCCTATATTACACTTATAAGGATTATATATATATATATATCTATTTATACACATTATTTTATTCTATTTTTTTTGGGGGGGCGGGGGTTCTTTTTTCAAATAGTCGTTTCGGGGGTTTGGAGCCCCGAGCTGCCAGGAGTCTGCTGCAAGTGGGGTGTTGAGCCGAGTTGCCGTACCTCAGCATGTGCTCTGCAGTAGGAAGCAACGCGAGAAGCACCTACTCCTCCAGTTAGGGTTAGGGCTTGGGATGTTCCCCCTTATACTAGCAGTCCTTCGTAGGAATTATAATAGGGAATACTACAATCGCTATGAAGGACTGTTAGTACAAGGGGGAACATCCCGAGTTAGGGCTTATGGAGACAGCTGATCGAGGTGGGCAGCCTGTGTCGCCAGATGCCTCGAGCCTCATGCCAGTGTGCTACCAGATCTGCCAGGCCTGTGGGGGCTACTGAGCCTACCCTCAGCCCGACCCGGTAAGGCCCTACCCCTTATAACACGATTCTTAGGTCACCCATTCACAAGTAGGGTTTGGGGTTCTTAAGGCAAACCCCTAAGCCCTAAACCCTAAACTGTCCGAAGTCCTTGGGCGTCTCTTCCAGCGCTGCAAGCATATTTAGGGTTCAGGGTTTAGGGTTTGGGGTTTAGGGTTTACGGTTTAGGGTTTAGGGTTTAGGGTATGACCCCTGGAGCCGGACCAGGCTTCAGCGAGCTGCTCGCAAGATCGCAGCGCCATTCGGCCGACACTGCAGATAGGCACCATGCCTCTGTCTTCTCGACTGCATCCATGCATGTGACCAGATGTGGCTTCTAGGCACGAGCTACCCCTACACCCTCAACCTAAACCCGAAACCCTGAACCCTGAACCTAAACCCTAAACCCTAAACCCTAAACCCTAAACCCTAAACCCTAAACCCTAAACCCTAAACCCTAAACCCTAAACCCTAAACCCTAAACCCTAAACCCCGAACCCCGAAACCCTAAACCCCATGGGAGATGCCAGGTTCGCCACGCAACAGGCGCGGCAAGTGTCGCTGTGCATCGCAGCTGCCGCCAAAGCCAAGCTTCCACAGCACACGGGCTGGCAAGGGTTTAGGGTTTAGGTTTTAGGGTTTAGGGTTTAGGGTTTAGGGTTTAGGGTTTAGGGTTTAGGGTTTAGGGTTTAGGTTTTAGGGTTTAGGGTTTAGGGTTTTTGTGCCTAAATGGACTGCCAGGCACAGAAATTAGGCACAAACTTTCGTGGGCATAGGCACAAGCCTTCGTGGTCATAGGCACAAACTTGCGTGGGCATAGGCACGCCGTGCCTGTGCCCACGAAGGTTTGTACCCACGAATCCATCAGGGTTTATATGTGTATATATATATATATATATATAGTAAGAAAGGTTTAGGGTTCAGGGTTCAGGGTTTAGGGTTCAGGGCTGCCCTAAACCCTAACCCTAACCCCTAACCCCTAACCCCTAACCCCTAACCCCTAACCCCTAACCCCTAACCCCTAAGCCCTGAGCCCTAAACCCTAAACCCTAAACCCTAAACCCTAAACCCTGAACCCTAAACCCTAAACCCTAAACCCTAAACCCTGGACCCCAATCCCTAAAAACCCTGCCAGCCAAGGGAAGCTGCTTCCTGGCGGCTGGCTTCCGGCCGCGCGTTTTTCACGCCACACCGGCACCTTGGCAGACCTTGTGACATGGTCTTTGGGTTTAGGGTTTAGGGTTTAGGGTTTAGGGCACAGTATCGTGTAGCACTGAGCCAACTCTTTAGTAACTTCAAAACTACTGCGGCAATGTCCCTTCACGAGGAAAAGCGACCAAGTTCGCATTGGCAAAGCCTTCGTGGCACGCTTGCGGGAGCTTGGTCGCCCACCCAGCTTCTGCCCAGAGACCAATGCTTGGAGGTTCATGGGTTTGAAGAAGTAGGGTTATAAATGTACCAGCTCTACTTACTCGGGGTACTTATCACCCTACTTTTAACTACCCACGAACCTCCAAGTATGGCCTGTGAAAAACTAAGCCATTTTCCCTTAATTGGGCCTAAACCCTAAACCCTAAACCCTAAACCCTAAACCCTAAACCCTAAACCCTAAACCCCAAACCCTAAACCCTAAACCCTAAACCCTAAACCCTAAAACCTAAACACTTAATTGGGCCTCAAGGAGCCTTCTGCCGGGAGATGCAGGGCTGGAAAGCGGTGGCAGCCGGCTTCAGCCAGCTTGGCGGAGAGGCTTGTTGAGATGCCCCCAGCAAGGGCAAAGAGCCGAAGCCCCTGAATTCTTGGGTTTAGGGTTTGGGGTTTAGGGTTTAGGGTTTAGGGTTTAGGGTTTAGGGTTTACGGTCTAGGGTTTAGGGTTTAGGGTTTAGGGTTTACGGTCTAGGGTTTAGGGTTTAGGGTTTAGGGTTTAGGGTTTAGGGTGTAGGGTTTCGGGTTTACTTGGTAGGCCCTTGGGACATGTTGTACTTCCCTTGTATTCAGGAATATTTTTCAGAGGGTTTTCAGGGCCACCCTAGTATACTTCGAACTAACCCTGAGCCCTAAACCGTCATCAAAAACTTCGGTGCACATTCTGCGAGACCCTGAATCACAAGTCGGCTCCAGACCCCAAACCCCTACTTGCAGGTTCCTGGGTAGTTCTAAGTAAGGTGAAACGTGCCTCTAAATAGGGATTATGAGTAGGGTTGCCATACTTGCAACCCTGTTTGTAGCCACCCCATGAACCTGCCCGAGTTTACCAGGATTCCTAAACCCTAAACCCTAAACCCTAAACCCTAAACCCTAAACCCTAAACCCTAAACCCTAAACCCTGATGGCTGACATGTGGCCAGGCCCGGCCATCGGCTGGAAGTCCGAGCAGAGGAGGGAGGACCGGGCCCTGGGTTTAGGGTTTAGGGTTTAGGGTTTAGGGTTTAGGGTTTAGGGTTTAGGGTTTGGGGTTTAGGGTTTAGGGTTTAGGGTTTGGGGTTTAGGGTTTGGGGTTTAGGGTGTAGGGTTTAGGGGCGAAGACTGGGCAATTCTCCGAACCTTCAACCGGAAGGTGTTGGCACCCTAGGCTGTAAGCAACATTCCAATACATGGTGCCCGAAACTATATGGATTGTTAACCCTAAACCCGAAACCCTAAACCCCAAACCCCAAACCCTAAACTCCAGTACCCGGAGAGTCCCAGACTCCTCCCTTGCGGAGTAGGCACCTTGAACCATAGTGGGTTTAGGGTTTAGGGTTTGGGGTTTAGGGTTTAGGGGTTCAGGGTTTAGGGTTGAGGGTTCTGGGTTCATGTAGGGTTTAGGGCAAGGTACAGGGAGAAGCAGCCTCAGGAACGTCGAGCCCCCTTAGCCCCCCCATGTTGCACGCTTGCGCGCGCGCGAGGAGATCAAAGAAGCGCCAGGAGCCAGCACCCCAGACTAGCATCACAACAGTAGGCTGTAGGTGGTTTCGAGGGGCTTATAAGGGTGTATAGGGGTTTATAGGGGTTTATAAGGTTTATGATCAGGCTTTATAACAAGGGTTTATAGGGGATCTCTTAAAGGGTTTAGAAGGTGATTTAGGGTTTAGGCGCTTGCATTTTAGTTTTGGCAACTGTACTTGTAACCCTAATCAAGCCTATGCGTCCCAGTCCCCCTAAACCCTAAACCCTAAACCCTAAACCCTAAACCCTAAACCCTAAATCCTAAACCCTAAACCCTAAACCCAAAACCCTAAACCCTAAACCCTAAACCCTAAGCCCTAAACCCTAAACCCTAAACCCTAAACCCTAAACCCTAAACCCTAAACCCTAAACCCTAGACCCTGCAAGCCCCCCCAAGGGTCTTGGGGGCCTGCAGATTCAGGCCCAAGAGCTCCGAGACGCTGGTGGCAGCCAGGGACACCTTTGCCAGCTCCTGAGGCTCCTTGAGCAGGGTTTAGGGTTTAGGGTTTAGGGTTTAGGGTTTAGGGTTTGGGGTTTGGGGTTTAGGGGTTTAGGGGTTTAGGGTTTAGGGATTCGGGTTTAGGATTTAGGGTTTTTAGGGTTTTCGGGTTTGGGGTTGATGGTAGTTGTATTGCAACTACCTATGAGCCTCCAAGTAGCTGTAGTGCCCAGAACAGGCGCATCTTTTTGTTTTTTTTCCTGGGCGGGGTTCCCCATTAAGCTCTGTCAAAGATGAAGGGGTACCCTTTTTACTTCGTACGTGAGTTGCTGAACTGCTTGCAGGCAGGGTTGGAAGGGTGCCATCAGTGGCGTTGTTTGTTCCAGGCTGTCTTTAGGGTTTCGGGTTTAGGGTTTAGGGTTTCCCACATTGCAAGGTCGTGGTCTACACTCCTCAGCGCGACGGCAACTTGCCAGCATGCGTCCTGCCCTAAACCCTAAACCCTAAACCCTAAACCCTAAACCCTCTCTGCCTCTGCACGTGCACTACCTCCGAAGTAGGGAGCGATGCTTAAGCTGCATACTCAAGAAACCCGAACCCCTAAACCCTAAACCCTAAAGCCTAAACCCTAAACCTCAAACCCTAGACCCTAAACCCTAAACCCTAAACCCTAAGCCCTAAACCCTAAACCCTAAACCCCAACAATAACAACTCCAGAGACACGCCCCCGATTGCATCGTCTGGTTCAGGGCTGTAAAGGCTCTCTCCGTGTCTCGGCTCTCTTACACGCGCCGAGGAGTTCGTGACCCCGACCACAAAAAGGCTGGGGTTGATTCTGCCCCCTCGACTTCAGCTGCTTCTGTTTCAGGGTTTAGGCTTGAGGGTTTCGGGTTTAGGCCCTTGTGACATGCTTGACATACTTTCTCCTATTGACTTAGTTCAAGAGGATGTTATTCAGAATATGCTTCAGGCAGTTGCATAGAAAAGCCAAGACCAAATTGTCCACCACCCCCGGCCCCCCGGAAGTCTGAAGGGGCCAGCTGCACCCGTCTCTAAATGCCGACCAGTTTCAGGGCTTGTTTCGAACACCGAGACGCCCCAGAAGGGTTTACTACGAATTGCTTAAAGAACCCCCCCCCCCCCCAAAGTAGAAATATTCTTCCTTATAAGGGCAATATCGGGATTTTGTTTTTGTATTCTTTGGGGGGTCTTAAGCAAATAGTAGCTTAGGTGTAGGACCGCGGTTGATTCTTTGGACAGCTGCCCACGTGGGAGGCGTTGCGAGTGACAGTGTGGGCAAAGCACCCGCTGCTCTTGGCCGCCAGGGAGGAAGGCAGCCGATGACCCAACCCTAAACCCTAAAACCTAAACCCTAAACCCCAGACCCTAAACACAGGGGTTGGCGGGCTTGGCGAACTTAGCATCCTGTCAAACGGCCGCTTTTTGTTTTTACCCGCTTGATCCATTTCCAGCATATGCCCAGAGTGATTTTGCCCTAAACCCTAAACCTTCAGTCCCTAAATCCTCCAGCTTAAGTTTACTCAAGCCCTGGTTGAGTTCGGCTCATTTTCAGTACTATCGTTGTCCTTACCATCGTTGCTCCATTCTTCCTCTGAGCTCTTAGCTGGGATTGTTTGCTATTCGTTGCGCTTCATAGTTGTTAGCGCTCTTCTTCTTGTTCTCGAAGCCAGGGGCTTAGGTTTGTTTCATCATATTTCGGCCCGAAAGCCACCAAAAGCCCCAACGCCTGAACCCTCCTTGAAACCCGAAGAGCAAGAACGTCAAGCCCTACACCCTAAACCTGCACCCAAACACCCCGAGCCCTACACCCAAAGCCCTAAACCCTAAAGCCCTAAGCCCTAAGCCCTAAACCCTAAGTTTGTTGAGAAGTAGGCAGGAGCTCTTATCTTCGGGGGATGAGGTTGCTCATGTCCCCGCTTCTGCAGCAGCTTGCAACGGCGACAGAAAGCTGCAAGGAAGCTGAATAAACCCTCCAGGGAACAGCCAGCCCCCTAAAGCCCTAAGCCCTAAGCCCTAAAGCCCTAAGCCCTAAGCCCTAAACCCTAGGCCCTTAGCCCTAAACTCTAAGCCCTAAACCCTAAGCCCTAAACCTGAAGCCCTAAACCCTAAACCCTAAACCCTAAACCCGAAACCCGAAACCCTTCCCAAAGGTGCCTTGGGTACCTCGACGGAGGGCTGCTGCCTCAACGGATTTGAGGCCGGCCTTCGCTTTCAAGAGTTTAGGGTTTAGGGTTTAGGGTTTAGGGTTTAGGGTTTAGGGTTTAGGGTTTAGGGTTTAGGGTTTTAGTCTTTTAGGCCTTCTATTTAGGCGTCTGGGTTCTTTACCGGGGTTGTTGAGGGCTTTGGGGGGTTTGGGGTTTTGGATTGTTGGGACTTAGGGATTAGGGTTTTGTAGAGTTTTGGGGGGTTAAGATTTTTTCGAGTTGTTTTTCGTGCTTTAGGTGAGGGTTTGGTAGGGGTTCAGGATTTGGCTGCGTGTTTCAAGTCCACTGATCACTAACATGAAATGAAGCACCCTCTTGAACAGAACCTCCAAAGGGTCCCTATTCCCTAACACTAAACCCCAAACCCCAAAGTTGGGCTCCGGGCTTTTCGCTTCGGAGCTTCTTTTGTTTTTTGGTCTGGAGGGGGGGGAGGGAGCCTACATCGGGCCTTGTTCTGTGGCACAGATTTATGAAAAGATCCCTCTGAAGCCCCCACACAGTTTAGGGTTTAGGGTTTAGGGTTCAGGGTTTAGGGTTTAGGGTTTAGGGTTTAGGGTTTAGGGTTTAGGGAACGTAAGGATGTAGGGCTGAACCCTTTACCTGGCTTGAGGCTGAGGGTTGCACCAGGGACGTAGAAGTTCGAGTCATGTTGCGAGTGGGGCCCTGTTAGGGTCCGCTTTTGAGTTTCAAAAGACGGATCCGTACCAAGACTGTGATACGAACCGGAACCCTAAACCGGTCATCTTTTCAGAGTTTAGGGTTTAGGGTTTAGGGGTTTATTTAGGGGGTTTAGGGGTTTAGGGGGTTTAGGGGGTTTAGGGGTTTAGGGGTTTAGGGGGTTTAGGGGGTTTAGGGGGTTTAGGGGGTTTAGGGGGTTTAGGGGGTTTTCAGGGTCCAAAAGCCTTGGTTGCGACCTGGGAGGCGGTGGAGTGGATGCTGTCAGGGCCAACGCGCCGAGCGCAAGGATCCGCTCTTTGGGGGTCTCTCTGGTTTTGGCTCAGGGTTCAGGGTTGAAGGGTTTAGGGTTTAGGGTTTGGGGTTTAGGGTTTAGGGGTTTAGGGTTTAGGGTTTAGGGTTTAGGGAAGACACTTTTTTAACACAGGAGCCCACCTCGCTGCCAATATTCCAAGACCCAAGCACTAGAGTTTTAGAAGACAAGTGTCGCCCTAAGCAACTGTTCTAATTGACTTGGCCCTACAATGATGCAGCCGGGAACCCTAGACCCTAAACCCTAAACCCAAAACCCTAAACCCTAAACCCTAAACATCTCGAAGCTGACATAAGCGCCGACCTTGCGCGATGCTGTGAGGCGGAGATGAGCAACTGGAGCACCGGCTCCTGCTCCTCAGGACCCGTAGCGGCAAGAGCCTTCATAGGGTTTAGGGTTTAGGGTTTGGGGTTTGGGGTTTAGGGTTTAGGGTTTGAATCGGAGGGCTAGGCTTGGAGGTTCGTTTGCGTAGTTATGAGTAAGGTTATAAGCACGGCAAGGCTACTTCGAACCCTATTTAGGGCACTTATAACCCCAGCCTAGAGCCGAAACCCTAAACCCTAAACCCTAAACCCTAAACCCTAAACCCTAAATCCACTTATAGGTACCTAAATCCACTTAAAGCTACCCAAATGAACCTCCAAGTTTAGGCCGAGGCTCATTCGCCAGCTTGCAGGAGTGATTCGACGCAGCGGGACATCTGCGCAGCTGCAGAGCGCTTTGCTGATGCGCCGGCAGCCAAGCGAGCATATTATATATATATATATGTATATACAAGTATAAATATAAATCTAAATATAAATACAAAAATATAAATATAAATATAATTAGAAATATAAGCATGAATATAAGTATAAATATAAATATAAATATAAATATAAATATAAATGTAATTATAAATAAATATAAATACAAAAATATAAAAATAAATATAAGTATAAATATAAATATAAAATAAAAACTAAAATATATAAATATAAATACACAAATACAAATATAAATATAAATATACATATACATATAAATATAAATATAATATATATATATATATATATATGTATTTACATATTTTCTTATAGGGTTCTTAAGGGCGGGGGGGGGGCGGGGGGGCTTGATTCAAGGGGGGTATGTAACCCAAGGCTCCCGAATACTCCCTACAACTCCTTCCTAAGGCTCCGTAGCTCTCTAAGTACCTACCCCCCCCCCCCATGAACCCCCCTCCCTGAAGAACTTGATAAATGAAAGTGTATATATAAACACATATGTATATATATATATATATATGCATATATATATATATATATGTGTGGTCAGTTCTTGAAACGATGGTCCCTTTTTGGATACTCTCAAGAATTGCTGTGGCCTTATACTCGTATCCCCAAAAGGGACCATAATTTCGAGAAGTGACTACATATATATATGTATATATATATAGATTTATTTATGGATAGATAGATAAACAAGTAGGTACTTCCTAAACAAACCAACTGACGTGTGCCGTCTGCACGCCCTGTTCGAGCGAATGACGCGTGATAGTCGTTGAAGTGGACACGCAGCCGCGCAGGGCGAGACATTCTTACTATTTTAGGGTTAGGGTTTAGGGTTTAGGGTTTAGGCGCACGCCGCCCGAGGCACTTGGGACTCGTCAGGGAGCTGCCTGCCCAGGCGCGTGTTTTAGAAGCCAGGATGGTGTGAGGGCTGAGGCTGTCAGCCCCACTGTGTCTGGTTGAGGGTTTCTATGGAAGTAGACTTCAGACTAGAAAACCAGGGCTCTTCACAGTACTCATGGGTTCCCCTACTACCCCCCCCTCTATACTACCCCTTCTATAGGCTATTTGCAGTGGTTGCTCTAAATCATGCTCAGGACACCAAAAACAGGCCCTGCAAAGCCCAAAGCCTGAACCCTAATCCCAAATCCTTGCACCCTAAATCCCTGCGCCTGAAGCCCCAAACCCTAAACCTTAAACCCCAAGCCCTACACTCTAAACCCTAAACCCTCAACCTACTCTCAGACTCTGGGAGTCGCGGGCTCAAGTTGGGAGACCCCGCAGTCCCCCCAAGCCCCATGGTGTTTATTCCAAGCGCGCTTGAGGAGCGCCTGAGAAGCTGCTGGGCTGGCAGTTCCTCCCTAAACCCTAAACCCTAAACCCTAAACCCTAAACCCTAAACCCTAAACCGTAAACCTCTCTATCATATATAATTCAAGTGTTAAGGAGTTACTGGGCAAGGTCATTTTTTTACTGGGCAAGGTCATAGTTTTACTGGGCAAGGTCATTTTTTACTGGGCAAGGTCGTTTCGTCCAAAAAAACGACCTTGCCCAGTAAAAAAAATGACCTTGCCCAGTAAAAAAAATGACCTTGCCCAGTAAAAATGTTACTGGGCAAGGTCATCTTTTTACTGGGCAAGGTCATTTTTTTACTGGGCAAGGTCATTTTTTTACTGGGCAAGGTCATTTTTTTACTGGGCAAGGTCATTTTTTTACTGGGCAAGGTCATTACTGGGCAAGGTCATTTTTTAATGGGCAAGGTCATTTTTTCACTGGGCAAGGTCATTTTTTCACTGGGCAAGGTCATTTTTTACTGGGCAAGGTCGTTTCGTCCAAAAAAACGACCTTGCCCAGCAAAAAAATGACCTTGCCCAGTAAAAAAAATGACCTTGCCCAGTAAAAATGTTACTGGGCAAGGTCATCTTTTTACTGGGCAAGGTCATTTTTTTACTGGGCAAGGTCATTTTTTTACTGGGCAAGGTCATTTTTTACTGGGCAAGGTCATTTTCTTACTGGGCAAGGTTAGTTTTTTACTGGGCAAGGTCATTTTCTCATTGGGCAAGGTCATTTTTTTCTGGGCAAGGTCATTTTTTTCTGGGCAAGGTCGTTCCATACGTGAAATATTTTCTTAATGTTGTGGGATTCTTCGGGCGGGTGGGTATTTTTCTGGAGCAATAATTTCTTGACTAGTGAATGCTTGGACTTGAGATGCTGAACCCTAAACCCGAAACCCTAAACCCTAAACCCTAAACCCCAAACCCTAAACCCTAAACCCTAAACCCTAAACCCTAGACCCTTGGGAACTTTGCGGCTTACTCCTAGGTAGGATAAGGGGGGGGGGCCCTTAAGAGGGAACGCTTTTTAACCCTCTCTACCCATTAACCTTCAAGTAGGAGGGGTTTAGGGTTTAGGGTTTAGGGTTTAGGGTTTAGGGTTTAGGGTTTGTCACCATGCTAGTAGGGGTTTCTGGTGCTGGCAACTTCGTCTTAAGTTCCCAAGCCGAAAACCCTAAACCCCTTGCAGCTTAAGCTACTTAAGTTCCTCCTAAACCCTAAACCCTAAGCCCGAAGCCCGAAACCCGAAACCCGAAACCCGAAGCCCGAAACCCGAAACCCTAAACCCTAAACCCTAAACCCTAAGCCCTAAGCCCTAAAACCCTAAACCCTAAACCCTAAACCCTAAACCCTAAACCCTAAACCCTAAAGCCCTAAACCCTAAAGCCCTAAGGCGTAAAGCCCTAAGGCCTACGCCTTGAGCCCAAAGCCCTAAGCCCCTTAGCAGCAGCTCAGGCTGGGAGCGGGGGACGGAGAGCCCTAAGCGGCAGCCCGTCTTCAGCTTCGACGCAGACTACACGTTCAGCCTGCTGGCGCCCGTGTTTAGAGACTCCAGGTAGGCCTCTGGGAACGTTTTACACTTGTTCGGGTTTAGGGTTTAGGGTTTAGGGTTTAGGGTTTAGGGTTTAGGGTTTAGGGTTTAGGGTTTAGGGTTTAGGGTTTAGGGTTTCGCGTTTGGGGTTTGGGGTTCGGGGTTTGGGGTTTAGCCTGCTGGCGCCCGCTTTTAGAGATTCCAGGTAGCCTTTGGCGGCTTTTGGGAACTTTTTACACTTGTCGGGGTTTAGGGTATACGGTTAAGGCTCAAGTGGTTGGAGTATAAGGGGGTCTTATGGAGGACCCCCTTCCCGAAGACCTAAACCTTGATTCAGGAAGAGACTATCTCAGAGAGTAAAGACCTAACCCTAAATCCTAAACCCTAAACCCCCAGCCTAGGACTTATGCCGCGGTTCGGACCATGAGAAGCTTTCTGAAGCGACTCAGCAGTTGTTCTGCCAAACACTGGACCGGTGCGATTCAGTGGATCTCGAGACACCTCGGGCTGATATGGAAATGTTGTTTTTTAAGCTTCGATGGGTCCTCATCCCTGAAAGTTATATGTGTAGATATCTTTCTAGCCCGATATAAGCCTAGCGATAGCGTTCTATAACCCTGAACCCTAGACCCTCAACCCTGACTAAACCCTTAACCTAAATCATCATCGAACTCTAGCCCTGAAGTCCACCCCCAGGAACTGCGAAGACTATGTAGAGGAGCTCATGCGCTTGTGCCGCGAGATTACGCACGAGTGCAGCGGACTGCAGTTCCCCAAAGATGCGCAGGAGGCGCTTCGAAAGGGCTGGCTGCACTTCGTTCGCCTCATCTGCCTTCGCGACTACGACTGGGAGAACGTGATCAAGTCTCTGTCCGAGCTCCCGGAAAGTGCGGAGGGGTTCCCCCAAACAGTCACAAAAATGGTGCGAAAGGCCATCCAGGACAAGCTCTTAGTCCCTCTGCAACTGTGGGCCTTCCTGCTCAGAGCTCCCCAGGGAGCCAGTCCGGCAAGCCCTGCAAGGCTCGGTGGAGACTTGCCAAGCTCGGAACCCACTTCCACGCGGCTGAAACTGGGCGGATACGCTTGAGACTTGGGCCCCTTGAAGCCTCTTCCAGGGAGTGGTACTGCTCAGAGCTGAGAGAAAAGACCCACTTCCCTGCGCAGCCATGTTCACACACCACGTCTGACATGCTTTTTGCATGGGTTTTCAAGGCTCTTGGAGAGGCGGACGAGATGAGTAGTTCAGTATCAGTAACTCCCCTTCAAGAGCTTGCAGATCTGGCAAGAATGTGGCCTGTCTTGCTGCAGGCCGACCGCCCCGAGCGCCGAGATGCCCGGCCTGTGCGAAAGAGAAGATCGTGCCTGCACGGATCAAAAGGGGGGGGGGGACCTTTGCGGCCTTTTGACAGCAGACTGGAGCAAGAAGAGCTTCAATACAAGAACAGAGCACTTTCTTGAGCACTGCTGGCATCCATCCCTCCCTGCTGCATCTTTGAGAGGCCACTGAACTCTAAACCCTAAACCCTAAACCCTAAACCCTAAACCCTAAACCCTAGACCCTAGACCCTGGACCCTAAACCCTAAACCCTAAGCCCTAAACCCTAAACTCCCGGGTGGGATCTCTGAGAGGCCAGCTAAGTCGAATTCAACATCTCGGGGGTCAGCTGAAGCAAAAGCTGGAGCACATCCGGCAGCTTTCGTCACTGGCGCCGTCCGCCGCAGCCTCAGAAACAGACGCTGGACCGGAATGCTCAACGACACCAGGGGCAGGGCCTAGGGTTTAAGGTTTTAGGGGTTGGGGTTTAGGGCATTTGAGGTATAGCTTTGAGGGTTTGCGGGTGCTAAGAGCCTACTGAGGAATCGGCTCACTCCCTGCAATCTGACGAGGCCGGCTGGAGTGGTTTCGTGCGCTTGTCGGGCTGTGGGCTCCCTAAACCCTAAACCCTAAACCCTAAACCCTAAACCCTAAACCCTAAACCCTCAACCCTATACAAAGGTATGGGTGCTTGGGGCCCCAAGTCACCCCCCAAACAAAGGTGCACGGTGTGGGTGTGGGGGTGGAGGTTTAGGGTTTAGGGTTTAGGATCAAGGGTTTAGGGTTTAGGATTTAGGGTTCCGGGTTCAACATAATACCGAACACAGCGTGCCAGGCCGCTGTCATGGTCAATTCGGACCCTGAAGCTCTCAAGCCGCAAAGCCCCCAAAGCCCAAAAACCCAAAAAAGCTCCCCCAAAACCCCAAACCCAAAAGCCTACACCCTAAACCCTAAACCCAAAACCCTATACCGTATACCCTACACCCTAAACGCTAAACCTTAAACCATAAAACCCTAAACCCTAAACCCTAAACCCGAAACCCTAAGCCCTACGCCCTAAACCCTAAACCCTAACCCCGTTGCCAACACGTCGGCATCCAGAGGCTTCGACGCCCTTGGTGGGATCCGAGCTGCCCAGTCGCTGGCGCGGAGGGGAGGGGGTGGGGGGGGTGGCCCAAACCGTAAACCCCAAACCCTGAACCCTAGACCCTGAATCCTAAACCCTAAACCCTAAACCCTAAACCCTAAACCCTAAACCCTAAACCCTAAACCCTAAACCCTAAACCCTAAACCCTAAACCCTAAACCCGAAACACTAAACCCTAAACCCCTAAACCCTAAACCCTAAACCCTAAACCCTAAACCCTAAACCCTAAACCCTAAACCCTAAACCCTAAACCCTAAACCCTAAACCCTAAACCCGAAAGAAACCCTAAACCCCAAACCCCAAGCCCTCGAGCTCCCCGACATCGCCAGGCATTCCGCGGTGCTTGTGGACACTGCCGCCGACTGAGGGCTCGGCCAGGGTTCTCTGCGGCAGCTCGGCACCCCAGGGTTTAGGGTTTAGGGTTTAGGGCTAGGGTTTAGGGCTAGGGTTTAGGGTTTGGGGTTCAGCGTTTAGCCCTAGGCCCCGAAAGCATTATGGCCCTAAGTGCCCTAAAATGTCCCGCAAGCCTCTCAACTCCAACCTGGCTGGGGGGGGGAGGGGGGGGGGCCCTCCAGCCTGAGATCCTAAAGCTACTCTTAGCTTAAGAACACCCCCACCCCAGAAAACAGAAGACAAGAATCCCTGTGAGTTCTCAAAATTCTGGTCCCTTTCGGGTTTAGGGTTTAGGTTTAGGGCCCTAATTTTTGAGAACTGACCAACATTGCCCTTGTAAGGAAGAAGTTGTTTTTTCATTTTGGGGCGGGCTCTTCAGGAAGTGGTAGAGAAGTCTGGGTCAGCGCTGACAAACGTCAGTGTGCCCCCATGGGACCGGAAGGTGGCTTCCATGGTTATTACATCGTGTCGTGCAACATGTTGTCTTATACATATATATATATACATGTATATATATATATATATTAACGTCTATGTACAAATGTTGATTCGTAGTCTATTGTGTTGCATCATACTTCTCTATAGCACACACTACTATGTAGTCTATTCGGTTACTTTATATGTCGCTATATGAAACTATGGTATGATAGCTTTTATACTGCATATATCAGAGTGTTATGCTAAGTTGCAGCGGCCGTTTCAAGCCAGCGGCAAACAAGCTGCTGTCGGCACTTGCTTGCACAGGACTCGGAGCATGGGTTGGGAATCCTGGAGAGCCCACTACGCCTTAATGAAGGGAACTGACCTGAACCCTAAACCCTAAACCCTAAACTCTAAACTCTAAACTCTAAACTCTAAACTCTACACTCTAAACTCTAAACTCTAAACTCTAAACTCTAACTCTAAACTCTAAACTCTAAACTCTAAACTCTCAACTCTCAACTCTAAACTTTAAACTCTAAACTCTAAACTCTAAACTCTAAACCCTAAACCCTAAACCCTAAACCCTAACCTGGTTTAGGGTATATACCCCCATCAAGGGTATTGGGCTCTCTGCGAATTCTACGATCCGTGCATGTGTGCAACGGTTCCGAGCGCCGCTTCCTCAGCTTAGCTGAGACTGTGCAGGGTGCTCTGACTCAAATGTGCGCTCAGGGTTTAGGGTTTAGGATTTAGGGTGTAGGGCTCCCAGCGCGGCACGAAGCCTTCTGAAGGAGCTGCATCTACCTGATGCACCATGCAGTTGGGCTTGAGAAGCCACCTTAGAACAAGACACACGGACAGCAATGGAACAGCACAGTTTCTACAGACGGCCTCGACTTCTCTTGTCAGCAAAAACACGAGAATCACCAAGTCAAGAAGCATTCGCATGCCGAACATATATACATACATAGCACCATAATCTCTATGCATGTATATACACATACAGACGATGCGTGTATATGAGATATGCACATAATGACATATGAGCATGTACACAGAGGCTTGCTGCAAACACGGCCGAACTGTGGAGCTGGGCTCTGCAATGCCTGCCAGCTAATGGCCGTCATCACAGACCCCATCTTGGAGGCCCCAGAGCACCCGCGTTTGGCGCTTTGGGGCATTCGAGTTTAGGGTCTGCGGTTTAGGGTTTAGGGTCCAGGGTTTAGGGTTTAAGGTTTAGGGTTGGGAAGGTTGCTGTAGACTGCTTGTGGGGCTTCCTGGTGGTTAAAAACCCTCTTAGATAAGGTGCCTATGGAGAGGCCCCCGAACACCCCCTCCCGATGTCTTTTGTGGCTGCTTCTGGAAGGAGAAGGCCCAGGTAAAGACCGAGCAGGTGTTGGGTGCCGAGACGCAGCTTGTGTCGTCAGGTTTTAGGGTTTAGGGTTCAGGGTTTTTGGGTTTAGGGTTTAGGGTTTAGGGTTTAGGGGGACTGACAATAATACCGGGTATCATCTGGGTGGGCAGACTGAGATTTTGCACCCGCCATATGGAGACCCGCCGTGCGTCACATGCCCCACAGGCTCCTTCGTACCCTAAACCCTAAACCCTAAACCCTAAACCCTAAACCCTAAACCCTAAACCCTAAACCCTGAGCTCGTAAAAGCTTGCCCCACGCCGTGAGCTGAGGCAGCAGATCATTCGCAGCGTGGAGAGAGCATGCGAGCACAACTCAGATGAGGCCAACCCGCGAGTTTGCTAACCCTGAACCCTAACAAGGTTTAGGGTTTGGGGTTTGGGGTTTGGAGTTTAATTAGGGTTTGGGGTTTAGGGTTTGGGGTTTAGGGTTTTTGGTTTAGGGTTTGGGGTTTTATGTAAAATAGCAGGGGTTATAATTTAGAGAAGGCCATCGGAGCGCTGGGGGCTCTTGGGGTTTGGGTTTAGGGTTTAGGGTTTAGGGTTTAGGGTTTAGGGTTTAGGGTTTAGGGTTTAGGGTTTAGGGTTTAGGGTTTAGGGTTTAGGGTTTACGTAGGGTTTCTGTTGGGTTCCAGAACTCGTCCTTGGCAGATGATGGACGCCTTTCAGGAACTTCCCTTTTTGCAGCTCCAACCTTGAAACCCAAACCCATCATAGAAGGATGCTCACTAAGAGCCCCTAAACCCTCAACCCTAAACACCAAGCCTTAAACCCTAAACCATAAACCCTAAATCCTAAACCCGAAACCCTAAACCCCAAACCCTTCAAACCCTAGACCTTAAGCCCCAAGCTGGGCATCACATGCCAGGATCGGAGATGGTTGCTGGAGCTGATTCAGCCCAGCAATCCGTGGTCCCGGCCTTGACTTTGTCTTGCGCGACAGGGAACCTCTAAGCCTATATAATCCCTCGAATAGCCCTAATCCCTAAACCCTAAACCCTAAGCCCTAAACCCTAAACCCTAAACCCTAAACCCTAAACCCTGAACCCTCCTAAACCCTAAACCCTAAACCCTAAACCCTAAACCTTGATTTCGTGAAGTCGGACACACTTGCGCGAAACCGTTCCATCGATCCTGGAGCCGAGTTTCGCGACGTTGGTGAGACTGATCTGCCAGCCGAAGTACAAGGAGGGGGTTTAGGGTTTAGGGTTTAGGGTGTAGGGTTTAGGGATTAGCGTGTAGGGTTTAGGGTTTAGGGGTGCTGGAAGTTGGGGGGCTTCAGGGTTTAGGGATGTAGGGTGTATAGGGGCTCAGGGATGTAGTTTTTTTTGTTTTTTAAATATTTTGTTTTTCGAGTTTTGGGGTGTGGGGTCTGTACCACAAGGCACCTTAACACCAAAGTCAAAAACCCCTGTACGTTATTGACAGATGTTCGTGAAGGAAGTGCCAGTTTTGGAGGGTATGGGCTTATGGTGTGTGTATGTGTGTGTAGCTACTTGGAGCTTCATGGGACTTAATAACCAAGTATAACCGTACTTATAACTGTACTTATAACCATATTAGGGCACCTAAGGCTTATAAGTACAGTCATAAGTACAGTTATAATTGGTTAGTAAGTGCCATGAACTTTCAAGTATGCATACATATATATATATATACATACATACATGGCCGCTTCTCAAAATTGTTCCCTTTTTGGGCATCCTAAATATCAGAAGCCCAAAAGAAACCATAATTCATACATTTTGAGGGTTTTCAGGGAGGGCTTGGGGTTTAGGGTTTAGGGTTTAGGGTTTAGGGTTTAGGGTTCAGGGTTCAGGGTTTAGGGTTAGACCCCCGTCGCAGGTGTTCTTCGCTCTCCGGGCAGTCTGCCTCCGCGCTGTCCAGATGTTTCTGGGCTGTACGACCCTCAACCCTAAAGCCTAAAACCCCGAATCTCCCCAAACCCTAAACCCCTCAACCGTAAGCCCTAAACCCGTAAAACCCTAAAGCCCCAAACCCCTAAACCCCTAAACCCCTAAACCCCTAAACCCCTAAACCCCTAAACCCCTAAACCCCTAAACCCCTAAACCCCTAAACCCCTAAACCCCTAAACCCCTAAACCCTAAACCCTAAACCTAAACCTAAACCCTAAACCCTAAGCCTAAACCCTAAACGGGGCCTGGGTTTAGTGCATATGGTTTATTTGCCAGTCCCGTATGTAGTGCCGATCCCCTTGATGACCCCCATGTCTTTGTGGCCGAAGTTCCCCAAAGCACCCTAGGTCCCTACATGATGTTGGCATTGAACTATGGGCTTAGTCGGGCTTAGTGTTGTTTTGATAGACCGAGGCTGTTGCAGATCGCAAAGACGATGTTCACAGGCGCCGTACCCGCAAACCCGAAACCCGACCCTAAACCCTGCACCTACAGCCTAAACCCTAAACCCCAAACTCTAAACCCCAAACTCTAAACCCCAAACTCTAAACCCCATGGCAACATGTTTTGAATTCAAGGGTTGCTTCGAGCCTTGAAGCCTGCGACCTGCGAGCCTATAGAACCCATATCTTCCCACGCGTCCCCGATGTACCTAAGTAGACCCCAGCATTACCCCCAGGCTCCCTCTTCAGGGTCCTGGTGGAAACTTGGGATCATCCTGTAATCCACTTGCCGCTCTACAAAAGCCCACTTTATGAGGTCGAGCCAGGCTCAGTAGCAGTCGGACAGCAGAAGCAGTAGCAGGGTAAAGGGTTTAGGGTGTAGGGTGTAGGGTGTAGGGTGCAGCGTTTAGGGTTTACGGTGAAGCAGTTTCGAAGAAGCTACTTAGTAGTAGCAGCCGTAGTCGCCGTTGACGGTGTCCTCGTCCACGTCCTCGAAGTCGTAGTAGTCGTCGTAGTTGTCATGGTAGGAATTGTCGTAGTGGTCATCAATCGTCATAGACGTACGAATAGTTGAAGTGGGACTAGGACTAGTAGGAGCAGTGCGAGTGGTAGGAGTAGCTGTAGCAGCAGCTAGCGGCAGCCGATGCAGCAGGATTAGCAGTAGCAGCAGCGGATGCCGTTCACACATGCATCTCGCTTGATCGAAATACAGGTACACCAAAGCAGCTTCCTTGGGCGAAGCGAGAAAGTACGAAGCAGCGAAATACCACCGGAAAGAACAAATTCGGAGGTAAGAATGCACAGTGCAATTTATTGCTCGTGGTGTTGTCGAAGAATTCTGAAAACACAAAACCCTAAACCCTAAACCCGAAACCCTAAAACCCTAAAACCTTATACCCTAAACCCTAAACCGTGTTGTTCGAGTTACCTCGCAAGGCGGTAGGACTGCGGGAGCGTTGTCAGTTGCAGCTTTCGGAGCCGTGGAGAAGAAAGACGTAACTTGTCTGCAAACGAAACGAAGCTCAAGCCCTAAACCCTAAACCCTAAACCCTGAACCCTAAACCCTAAACCCTAAACCCTAAATTTCGGCTTTTGGGGTGAAATCTCGATTTTCCGTCCGCTGGTCTTACGGCGAACCCTTGACCTTTTTAAGTTCTTAAACCCTACGTGGCAGATGCTGCCAACGATCCCGATCTGGGCTGGAAGAACTTCGCCGGAGACTCATTGTCGTGCGTTCCCGGAACCTCTGAACTTTGTCATAGTAGGGTTCGCAGGGACTCCATGTACCGCTTCATTAAGGGATATTCCTTAGAACATCGTAAGGTCCGTTATGCTTTGTCATCGTGGGGGTAGCATTTTACATGCTTCAGGGTACTTAAGCTCAATAAGGAATAGACATTTAGATTGTTAATACTATCCCAACCATGAACTTGTGAAGCCCTTGAAGCCTCAAGCCCTAGAGGAAAAATATCTGGGACCCCAGCCTGCGGGGATGGGTTCAAGAATGTAGTGCTTAGGGTTTACGGTTTCGGGGTCTAGTTCAGGGATTTTACGAAACAGGCGCGGCTCGAAACCCAAGAGAGCCCAAAGGTCCTGATCGCCCGCAGTTTAGGGTTTAGGGTTTAAGGACCTCATTGCCCGGCTGTTAAGGGTTTAGGGCACCCGGAACTTGCAAGTAAAACCGTGAACCCTCTTAGCACGCGGGTGTCGATCAGAGTTGTGGCCCTTAATTCTGGACGATCCCTTGAATCATATTGGGGTTTACGAAAACAAGGGGCCCCAAAAATATAGTCCCCAAATAGTAGGATTCCCCTATAGTAAGGACCCCAGTAAGGTACCCCCTAGTTTCGGAAACCCCCATATGAGGATCCCTGTGGCACTTGAAGGAATTTTCCCTAGTTAGGGGATGATGAGGTCTTTCGGAGCCCTTTTTGTCAACAGTCCCCACGCCGCCGGGAGGTGGAGCTCGCGGGTGTGGAGCTCGCGAGAGAGGCGCCGTGTTGCCGGGTTCACCCTGCTTTAACATCGGGTTTAGGGTTTAGGATTTAGGGCTCAAGGCTTGTTATGGTTTAGGGTTCAGCGTATGGGGTTTAACGAGGGTCTGTCAGACTGATCAGCCAGCGCAGCAGAAAGTAGCCGCACAAGCGCACGGCTGTAGTTGTCAGGCTTCGACGCACTTACCGGGGAGAATGCATGATGTATGCATACATTCTCTTCACATACATATACACATATGTATATATATATATACATATTATACGATGTGTGTATTATATACATATATATATATATATATGTGTGTGTGTATGTTCCTGTACATCTCTGTCTACATATCTACATAACCATATGATATTCTCTCTCTCTCTCTCTCTATATATATATATATGTGTGTGCAAATAAAGCAACATCATAGTGACAGTAGCAATAAATATTCATGCAATTAGCCTAGTTGCAACAGCTCAGCAGCTCCGCTGGAGCAGCTGCATTCGGTTCCAGTTCTTGGAGTTGCCCTAAACCCTAAACCCTAAACCCGAAACCCGAAACCCTAAACACCCTAAACCCTAACTCTTAAACCAAACCCCAAACCCCAAACCCAGCTGCAGTCGTGCACGCGACTCAATGCTTCTTGCGAAGCTCCGAACCCTCAACCCCGTACTCCTTGCCGCAGTAAGGGGGATCTGAAGTTCGGGCCCTTAATTTGGGTGCACTGTTATCTCACCTTTTTTTACACAATACATAATGAGGGCCCATACTTCGGATCCCTGTAAATCCCTTTAAACAAGGGTAAAGGACCAGATTAAGGGCCCTTTGTTCCAACCTGAGAGCAGCGGCAGGCGTATCCAGAGTTGGTGCACCTGGCGCAGCAGCAGGAGGGGGCCATCTTGCCTGGGGGGTTTCAAGGCATGAGTCGAGGTTGAGTAGGGTTGAGGGTTTAGGGTTCGAAGCCCCTAAGCCCCTAAACCCTAGAGTAAAGACCCCTAAACCCCGGGGGGGGGGGGGGTGGAGGGGTCCTGTTTACATTTTGCCTGGGGGGTTTCAAGGCATGAGTCGAGGTTGAGTAGGGTTTAGGGTTCGAAGCCCCTAAACCCCTAAACCCTACAGTAAAGACCCCTGAACCCCTATATTGGGGGCTTGGTATTTTGCGGCCAACTCGATGCTGCGCACGATCCTTCATCGATGCGCTCAGCCGTGCTCCTCGACATGGGGATGGTTGTCCTGGGGGCCTGTTTACAAGCTGCGTATCGGAAGGAACTTGAAATTTCTATGTGCCCAAATCCTTACATAACCTTATAGAACCCGTAGAACTTCAACTCTTCTAGGGCCCTGAGTCCACCTCAGTTATAGGGAGAGGGGGGCCCTTAGGCTAGAACAATCCCGACCCTAAACCCCGAACCCTAAACCCTAAACCCCAAACCCTAAACCCCAAACCCTAAACCCTGAACCCTAAGGGGGGTGTGCAGAGGTAGAGCCGGTTGTGGCCAGCAACGCCACGCACCTCCTCTCCGAGCTTGGCCCGTCGGTGCCATCCTCAATTAGGGCTTGGGGCCGTTTAGGGCTTTGGGTTTTGGGTTTGGGTTTTGGGGTTTTGGGATTTCGGGGTCTTGTGTTTAGGGGTTTGGGGTGTTAGGGTTTTCTAAGGTTTAGGTTTGGGGTTTGGGTTTTAGGGTCTGAGGTTTGGGGTTGAGGGTTTAGGGTTAGAGGGTCTGAGGGTTGGGTTTTAGGTTTTTTTTGTTTTCGATTTTGGGGTTTTCGGGGTTCAGGGCCTTAGTTTTTAGAGTCAACGTTTAGAGTCTTAGGGCAGCAGAAGCCCCTGAAGAGTGAGCTGGGGTTTGGAGCCTTGCGAAGGGATATGGCCAGCTCTCGAAATTCGGATCCGGTTTTACGGGTACCGTCTTTTCTATACCTAAAGAAGGGACCATGATTGAGGCAGCTACCCATATAATTCCTAAACCCTAAACCCTAAACCCTAAACCCTAAACCCTAAACCCTAAACCCTAAACCCTAAACCCCAGCGCTTAACCCCAAACCCCTTAAAACGCAATGTACAAGGAGGGTTTAAGGGCACCTCATTCCCTGATTCCCCCCAACTAAGCACTGAGGGATCCTTGTGATGGCTCAAGCAGCCTCTGTTAAGGAATAGGGTTTCGGGTTTCGGGTTTAGGGTTTAGGGTTTAGGGTTTAGGGTTTAGGGTTTAGGGTTTAGGTTTAGGGTTGGGTATTGGAGAGCCCACCACCCTAAACACTGAACCCTGAACCCGGCGGACGGTTTAGGGTTTCGGGTTTCGGGTTTTGGGTAGCTATTTGGCAGGGTTATGGTTCTAACCACCCTTAGGTTGATAACCTAAGCATGTCTATACCTATCCTACATGGTCCTATATGAGGTTGTACCTTATAGCCAGCTATGACGAATTATAGCAACCCTTCTTCTGATCAAGAGTCGCCCGACTTGTAAGCACCGGTATCTACAGTTGCCCTGCTTGGAACCAATCCTCGAATTGCTCCAATAAAGGGCGGGAATAGTTATGAATCGTATTCCCTCATGGCCCCTATACAAAAACACACCTGAATTCTAATGATTCCGACCCAATAGGATCCAAAACTCTCAACTTTAAACCCTAAACTCTCAACCCTAAACCCTAAACCCAGCTGCTCTACTTGTAACCCCAGGTATTAGGTTATATCTGCCTATGAATCTCCCACGTCGAGCACATGTGAAGCACCATGGATTCGAGGCTCAAGTCCTTAAGGGTTTAGGGTTTAGGTTTTAAGGTTTGAGGCTTAGGGTTTAGGGTTTAGGGGTTATAGACCCTAGCCTGCTAGTAAGGTACAGTACATGAACCACAAATCCCTTGTAGGGTTTAGGGTTGAAGGTCCAGCTTTTGGGTGTTAGGTTTGGGGAGTTCAGCAGGCGTCCGGGTTCGGGCACGAAGCCGCATGAGACTCCATCCATATCAAGAAGGGGCCAACCCTTAACCGTAAGCCCTTGAGCTGACCTAAACCCCCCCCCCTCAAAAAAAAGAGAAAAAAATTAGACAGAAATTCTTTAGTACTAGATAACGAGAAAAGTATACACATCAATAACAGAGGCCCTGAAAGTGGACCACGTGCCTCTACTGCTCGAGCTGCTGCAGGCCAGGAGGTTGGGATTTAGCGTTTAGGGTTTAGGGTTTAGGGTTTCGGGTTTAGGGCTTGCGGTTCAGGGTTTAGGGTCTGTAGGGTCGTTACATGGTCCTTGGTCCTTGGGCTCTATGGGGTGCATAAGAGCTGTGTGCGTGTATATATTTATATATATACACACACAAGGCCTCAACGTATACTCACGGCCTTTGTAACTACCCCAAGACCGAAGCACTTGCCGCCTTATTCCTACTGAGCACGACGACCACGCGAGCCCAAACAGATGGCCAAACTCACCCGAGAGCGCTTGAGCAAGATTGGCACGGTTTTGCTTAATCTGTGGATGCTGAAGGTCGGCCATTTCCCCCAAAGAACTCTGCACAACGTTCTGGTTCCCAGTAGAAACATGGGAATAGGGAAGCAGGCAGTGTATAGGGCCATGTACGAGGGACCTCAATCTCTCACTTCCCTAAAAAAGATCTAGTAAGAAAAACCAACCTGAAACCCAAACCATGGTTCCTTCTTTCTCTTTTCAAGAGCCGATTCCCTATGAGAACGAACAAGAAAAGCAAAACTTCTCTCTTTGAGGTCGGATTGAACGTCTAACTCGATCGGGTTTGGGGTTTAGGGCTTAGGGCTTAGGGTTTAGGGCTCCACCCTAAGTGCTAAAGCTGAAGTCTAACACTCCCTGCCCCAAAGGCTCTGCCGGATAGAGCCGGCGACATCTCACAGGCTCTCGGGGAGTTTGAGGTTTAAGGTTGTGGAGGTTTTGGAGGTGTTGGAGGTTTAGGGCTTAGGGTTTAGGGCTTTAAGAGTTTAAGGATACAGGGTTGGTCCCAGGCATGTTGCCCAGACTGCGCCAGTCGCTTCGACACGCTTAGGCCCCCCACGGACCCTGAGCCCTGTAGCCCTCTGTGCCCAACCCGAGAAGCAGGTGGCACTTCGGGTGGCGTCCCCAGCTGCTGGCACATTCAAAGGGCGACCGTTGCTGAACATGCGTCATGTCCCCAATTCCATGTTCTCGAATATTATACTGCCAAGCCTAAAATTCAGTGTAGCTCTGCGGGACCATTTTGGAGAGCCCTTAAGGTACAAATCTCGAACACCCCAAAACCTTGAACCCTCAACCGCAGCTCTTCTAAACCCCTCAACCCTAAGCCCTAAGCCGTCCAGGACAATGTCCCTTGCTAAAGGAGCATCCCTTAAGCGAACCAGACCCTATATCCTACATCTTACACCCCAAGCCCTAAACCCTAAACCCTAAACCCTAAGCCCTAAACCCTAACCCTAAACCCTAAACCCTAAACCCTGAACCCTACACACTTCTCTGGTAAAGCGAGGTGCATGCCTGGGGTGGTGAGTACCGGCCGACGCTGTGCGATGCGATCGCCTGATGCCTACCACGAATCATCCCGAGAACCCCTAATTTTCAGGGGTTTAGAGTTTATAGGGGGTTTAGGGTTTAGGGTTTAGGGTTTGGGGTTTGGGGTTTGGGGTTTGGGGTTTGGGGTTTGGGGTTTGGGGTTTGGGGTTTGGGGTTTGGGGTTTGGGGTTGGGATGTTCCCACCTTACACTAGCAGTCCTCAATAGGGAGAATGATAGTGGGTACTATAGTCCCTATTTAGGAATGTTCGTATAAGGGGGAACATCCCAAGGTTTAGTACAGAAGGGTTTAAAGTTTAGGGGGGGGGTTATTGTTTTAACCTTCCGGTGGGTTTAGAGTTTAAAGCTGAAGCGGGTGTGGCGGTTTAGGGTTCAAAGTTTAAGGGGGCTTAGGGATCCCACCATCCCACCCCACTTGTGGCTGAGGCCCAGCATCCTGGTGGCAAAATCTTGGTCGAGGTAGGACATCTGAGGGTTTGGGGTTTAGGGTTTAGGGTTTAGGGTTTAGGGCCACCCCGGAGCCCAAGTGCCCCAGAATTCAGGAAGATACTTTGGTTCATGATCGAAACCCTAAGCCCTTCACATGGGGTCCTGGGCTCGGGGGTTTAGGGTTTAGGGTTTAGGGTTTAGGTTTCAGGGGTGTGCGGTGAGGACTTTGGCTTTGGGCATCGCAATGTTGGGTTTGGGGTTTAAGGGTTTAGGATGTACTGCTCAAGGTGTAGGGTTAGGGGGGGGTTTCGGGCTTTTGTTCCATGACGATTGCACGTCGCTTTGCTCCTGTCGTTGCTGTGGCTGCCGCTCGCTGCAGGCGAGGTCCTGACTTTGCAGACTTTGCATTAGGTCAGGTCGGTCAGATCAGGCTTGTGCCAAATGCAAGAGCCACTCGTGCAAGAAACTACAGCACAGAAGAAGTTCAGGTCATTCTTTCCACAAAAGTGGCTTGTAAACGGTTTCAAATACGATGTTCCCCCTTAACTAACGAACATCGAAGGAAGATTTTCCTTCGCCTTTGGGATCTTTAAACCCTGCGCTCCGAACCCTAAACGCAACACCCCTCACAACTCTTAAGAGACCGAACTCCTGTGCCACTTGGACGTCATGGGTAGCTACAAGTCGGGCTCGAAGTACTCGAACGATATTCATGCACTCTTTCAAGAGGGTACTAAAAAAACTACCCCTCAACCCTAAACCCTCAACCCTAAACCCTCAACCCTAAACCCTAACCCTAAACCCTAAACCCTAAACCCTAAACCCTAAACCCTAAACCCTAAACCCTAAACCCTAGACCCTAAACCCTAGTTTTAACCACCCATGTGAACCTCCAAGCAGGTCCTGCTCCAGATGATCAATCGCTGCGACGAGAAGCGCCGGCAGCGCGCCTTGAAGGCTTAAACCGGCTTTGGGTTTAGGGTTTAGGGTTTAGGGTGTAGGGTTTAGGGTTGAGGGTTGAGGGTTGAGGGTTGAGGGTTTAGGGTTTAGGGTTAGGGTTTAGGGTTTACGGTTTAGGGCTTAGGGTTTTGGGTTTAGGGTTTCGGGCTTATGGGGGGTGAATGCGAATGACAGTCTAAGGAACTCTAGAGTTTCCGGTCCGAGGTTGGTTTAGGGTTTTGGAGTTTTTGGGGTTTGCGAGGTTTAGGGTCTACAGGAAAGTGCAAGCAACGCAGACATGGAAGCCGTCAACCCTAAACCCTAAACCCTAAGTCCTAAACTGAGTGAGCCCGGGGCCGTCGAGCAGGGCGAACGCGCCGAAGCCGGCAGGCGAGGCAGCTCCGGAGCCAGAAGCCCTCCGGCGGGTGACGGAGCTCCAGTCCCACAGGCAGCTGCGGGCTGTGGGCTGCGCGGTGGAATCGGCAGGTCGCTGGCGAGAAACCCGTCAGTCCCCCTAGAATGAGATACCCCAAACCTTCTGGTACTGCTCTTTGGGAGGCCCCTGCCTGGGAGGCCCCTGCCTGAAAGCAGGGTCCGCAGAGATCCGACGGCAGAATGATGTACTTGCCAAGCCGGGGTGACGGCGCCAGCTAAACCCCCCAAGCACGCCAGAGATCAGAGGCCCCCAGAGCCGTCGGCTGATGCACATCATCCCTTGCCACGCCAAGGGGCGAAGGCGCCAGCCAACCCCCAACGCCAAACCTCAAACACCGAAATTATCGGACAACTTTTCGGCTTTCGGGGCTTGCGTAACCAATAGCGAAATGGAAAAAAGCAAACGTGCGATCAGAGTTCAAAAGAACCCTAAACTGTAGAGGTTAAGGTGAGGGTGGAGTGCCAGCGCGGGTGGGCTTATGCACGTCGGGGCGCGCGCCTGGGTGACTCATTGAGACACCCTAAACCCTAAACCCTAGCCCTAAACCCTAAACCCTGACAACCCTGCAAACTAAACCCTAGCCCTAAACCTTGAGCCCCCAAACCTTGGCAGGTCCTCACCGGGTGCTTCGAGCTACCCGAAGCCGGTGACCTGCTTTACACCAACGACGCGCGAGTGTTGGCTGGAGCCCGAGTTCTATGTAGGGGTTTAGGGTTTAGGGTTTCGGGTTTAGGGTTTCGGGTTTAGGGTTCAGGGTTTACGGTTTCGGGTTTCGGGTTTACTTGGTAGGCCCTTGGGACATTTTATATATCTCCTTGTTGGGTTAATGAGGTCATGCTCTGGAATATTTTTCGGAGGCTCCTTATACCCCTTAAGGGTATCAGTACAATTTCAATACTTGTAGCCCTGCTTGTAACGATCCATGAACCTCCAGGTAGCTCAGGGTTCTATGGCTTGGGGTTACCCCTCAGGGTTTTGCAAGATTCGCAATGGACTATCGCATGCCAGTATTGGGAGGAAGCTGGGGGGCAGTGGCTTTTGTACGGAGGGGAACTGCGGGGAGGGGGGACTGGAAGGGAGCCAACGAGGAACCTGTTCGTTTCTCGTCGGTGGCGTCAGACAAGGTATCCCGGCAGGTTTCCTCGTCAACGCCCAAACCTTAAGTCCCAGGGTTTATTCGGTTTGTAGGGTTCCAAGGGTAGTTACATGGGCCCTGAATATGGTCCCTGACATCTTAAAGGGTTCTGATGCGTCCCCTTTTCACGGGCCCATACTAAGGGGCCATGTAACCTTTTATAGGGATTATAGGGTTTGTAGGGTAAACCCTAAAGGGTAAACCCTAAACCCTAAACCCTAAACCCTAAACCCTAAACCCTAAACCCCAAACCCCAAACCCCAAACCCCAAACCCCAAACCCTAGACTAGGACAAAAATAGCAGAGCACCGCTGACCCGGGCATGGTTGAGGTTGAAATTCTGCTTCGCGAGCTGCCGGCCCATGCGGAGGACGTAGCGGCCTTTATGTGCTACACCGACTGCATGCAGGCCATTCTTAAAAGGGTAACAGGAGGGACCCCTAGAAGGGACCTTAGTCTGGTTCCCCTATATAAGCCCTCTGTATACCTTGTTAAGTCCCTTGGCATTCTGAATTCAGGGGTGCGTGGGGATCCTGGACAAAGCCTCAATCATCTGTCACATATCAGTCCGACCCACACCCAAATATACCTTGTTAAGTCCCTTGGCATTCTGAATTCAGGGGTGCGTGGGGATCCTGGACAAAGCCTCAATCATCTGTCACATATCAGTCTGACCCACACCCAAACCGCAGGGTTTGAGGTTTAGGGTTTAGGGTTTAGCAGACCCCTTGCGAAATCCTACACAAAGCACCGAGCCCGGTGGTGTCGCAGAGCGCGGCAACCTTTCATGCGGGCGCTTGCCCCACCCAGGACTGTCCTTACCATGTAAGCGGAGACCCCAATGGATGCCCTTAATGATGTAAGCCTTAAACCCTAAGCCCTCAGCCCTAAGCCCTAAGCCCTAAACCCTAAACCCTAGACCCTAAACCCTAAACCCCAAGCAACTCTGCTAAGACCGAAGCCCTACATAGCAGGATTCCACGTGCAGCTTCCTGAAGCGAGCCACAACCAAGCTAACATCCTGAAGTCTCTAGAGTGCCTTACTTATGGTTTAGGGTTTAGGGTTTAGGTTTTAGGGTTTGGGGTTTGGGGTTTCGGGCTAGGGTTTAGGGTTCAGGGTTCAGGGTTTAGGGTTTATGTGAAGAGTGAGACCTGTAACTTTATAGGGTCATAGGGATCACTCTGATGAATTACGGTACACTACCCGCCTTAATTCAGAGGTATTGGGGCTCGCTGGGTCCTCTATCCGCCAGATTTTTGGTTTAGTTGAACTTCATGTTTCTACGAATTGCTTAAGAACCCCGAAAAAATAGAAAAGAACATATGTTCCTTCTTAAGGGTAATATGGGGATTAATATTTTGTTTTTGTTCTTTTGGTGTTCTTCAGCAAATAGTAGGCTTCGTGATATGACACAGACCAGCTTCGCATCCTTGTCGGGTTGATGGAGCTATCTCTGAGGATCTTCAAACCGGCCCGAAACCCTAAACCCTAAACCCTAAACCCTGAACCCTAAACCCTAAACCCTAAACCCTAAACCCCTAAACCCCTAAACCCTAAACCCTACACCCTAAACCCTAAACCCTAAACCCTAAACCCCCCCCATGCCCGGAAGAGGCCCTGGTAGTTGCCAGCCCGGCCGCGCGACAGCATCGCCGGGATGAAGTGCTGCAGGTGCGGTTTTGGGGGTGGTCGAGGTCGCCTAGGGTTTAGGGTTTCGGGTTTAGGGTTTAGGGTCTGAGGTTTAGCACGGCCTGCGCATGTCGTAGCATTTCTGTATGCTACGCATATAATCCGAAGGCAGTTGCAAGGGCCCTTCAGAATTTCTCTGTCATAGTCGGGTAACAATTTTACTTTTTTAAGGGTACTTAATCACAACAGGGAATAGTAATTTAGTTTTTTTAGAACCCAGAGAGCCCAATACCCCTCAATTGAGGAATATTCCTTAAAGTATAGAGGGTGGCCCCGTGCCCAAAGAGCCCAAACCCCTTAACTAAGGAATGTACCTTGAGTGTATATATATATATATATATACACAGATAGGGATCCTTAATATGATTTAAGGTATATGCCT